GATCTCAAAGGGGTTAAAATATTTGCTTGAGCTCCTAATAAGCAGACCAACGATATTATTCTGTCCTGCCTATATTGTCCTTTACAAGTTGGTGCAGAAGAGTCTTTTAGCAGATCTATGGAGGTTCTTGGATGTATTGAAATGCTTTGCTTGAAAGTATTAGAATATATAAACGGCGAGTAATACGTTAGGAGTCTGGTGGGATGCGGCAAGGTACATCGTAGGCTTTTCTCTTGATGAATTCAATAACACACACTCAACTGCGAAATATTAGTGATCAGTCTGTCCTGTTGGATTCTACCTGTTCCCGCTATGTCTGTTCAGAGACGGAGCATAATGTGGGAGGTTTCCACCTCTAATTCTTAAGCTTTGGGCTTAGAGCCTCTCTGTTGCATAGTTTAATGGAAAGAAGTTACTGTCAAATTCTATCATCCGAACGACCCCTATCAGTTTCAAACATTCTTTGTTTTGCTTTCTTCTCTCCATCTTCCAAAGCAAACAACAGTTCTTGTTGAACTCCCAATATTAGGACATACATGGAGACAAGATACAAAATAAAAAAAACAACTTTGGAGAATCCAATCATCATGTTATGTTGTGACCAATTCAGCCAAAATTTCATTATCAAGAACTGGCAACAAATTTGAGAGTACAACAACCAAAGGAAACATGAAAGAAAGAATAGTAATGATGGGGGGGTTAGGACATTTCTGCAGAGCACATTCATTCATTCTAGCATTACAAATACCTTTTTCCAGATCAACCATAACACAACAAATTTTTTTTTGACAAGCATGAACTTGGTTGTGGGAAGGGGAAAAGATCTGTTATTGCCTTTGGAAGAAAGCTTCTGTCTTGTTTGTGCTTCTTTCAAAGGGGAAGAATCCAGCAAACTGAGCAAAGTCTTCGAAGCACAAGAGGCCTGTTATTTGTGGAATTTTGGCGCATTTTGTACTGACGAAGAACATATGTTCTCGGGAGAAGGAGAGGGTCAAGAGACTGTGTTTATCTGACTACAGGACTCCTCTGATCATGTTGTTTAGATCCTGAACAACCTCAGACATCTGTGACCTGAATTCAGGCTCAGACTGCAGACAAGGACAAATATATTTCCAGGTCAGGTTGAACGTATCTATGTTCTGCTAACTAACCTTGCGAATTGTTGCTCATCATGTTGGTTTTTGTATCAGAAAGTAATCAAATGATGCAAATTAATCTAGCTCCTTAAACTTAGTTTGAGAAAAGAAGCTCAAACAAACTCATTGTTTCAATCTAACTTCTTCAGACAACCTTTCACCTGAACCCCTTCAAATATGTAAATCTTACTACCCAAGACCCAATATGAAGCAAGCCGCCTAACACACCATCAATTGCTCTTCTGCTGCTCAAAAGTATCTCATACTCCATTAACTCCAGTCTTTGTAAATTCTTATCAAGCACACATTTTATTTACACTTCAAAATTACCAATTTGCTGGGCTTTTTTTTTTCTTTTTTGCAGAAGTTGAAGCAAACACGCCCTAAAGTTCTGAGATGTAACCAACAGAAGCTTTTTGATGGGAGATTTGTTACCCGGACAAATGGAGAAATCATATCGGCAAAGTTGGAGCGTGACTTAGCAGGGTTTTGTTCATTACGAGAAAAGGATCAACCATGCTACATAATGCATCGATGTCAAGGAGCTGAGGAGAAAGAATTGAGATTAATTTCTATGAAGAAACCATTTGGTATGTAGTAATGATGTATATACTTGAAACATCTTCCTATTGACCGGTCATAGGATTTTCGGCCTATCAAAAGCTCCAACATTATCGTTAACCATCATCAGTACACAAATATGTTTTTTTTAAAGAATTAGTGCACAAAGTGGTGTTATTAGTAATAGCTCAGTCAATAAAATTAAAAATAGAAGAATGCTCAGATAACACATACATTTGTGAAAAAAATGATAATTCTAATTGTTATTAATTTCTTTGTGTTAATAGTTGAGATTGGTAAATTGATGTATCTAAATTTGCCAGATGAGATGTAAGTGATTTTGTGGTTGTTTATTGATAAGAATGTCAATTTGATCATATTTGGTCATCCTGATATATGAATGTTATTTTTCGTCATACTAATATACGAATTCAGGTTGTATGTACAAAATCAGGTTTGTTTATTAGGGGGAGTTCGGATCTAAGAATTTGCATTTGAGATTTGAAATTAAAAATACTTTTGTTCTAATTTTAAGTAGATATTGTATTTGAATTTTTCCAAATAAGTGATATTTGGGTGAATCTCAAGTAGATATCTAGCGTATTGCTAGTAACACATATCTAGCATATGACTAGAATATACTGGGGCTTGTTGGTAAAGTTCTACAAATTTAGGTACTATAATGTATGAAAAATATATACGCGGACTAAAATATAACCATTTTCATAAAACAATTGGACTTATGTCTAAAATTTATTAAATTTTAGATTGAACTATAATGCACAAAAATTTAGGCACTAAAACTTGTTATTGTTCGGCCAAATGATTTTCAAAATCCAAAAAAGAATAATAGAATTTGAAAATTCTAAAAAGACGAAATGAATATGTAATATTGGATTTCAAATGAATTTTTAAATGCAAACATTTCAATTTAATCATTTCAAATTCATAGTCATTGCACTTGAGTTACACACAAATACACTTTTAAACAAATACAAAGCATAATAAATGAAAAGATATGCAACCAATTTATTAAAATTTAAATGTGAAAGGCGAAATTGTTAATGCCGTCAAGCGTATATAAGCCTGACCATATTTTTCAATGTAGTATATTGTTTAAAACCTTAGTGGTTTAGTCACTGTGTCTAGAAGCCAACAACAACATCAAGTCCACAAACATCCCGCGCAAAGGGACCACCCTTTTCCGCTGAAATATGAGTATGACATAAGAAGAAAACATAGGCTTTTTTCCTTCTTGCTTCCTCAATTTCCTTTCGCATCCTCCTCACACGTCCTATTGGGACATTCCCTTTGCCACGAGTCTCCTTCCTTTCTATTCCACTACTTTCAATTAAAAAAAGGGGGGAAAAGGAAAGGGGAAGAAGCATAATTTTTGTTGGTTGGTTGTCAATGAAGCAGATAATCAAACACTCATCATTTTTTCCCCTCACTAGTTTTTGGTCATGGTGGCGAGAAACTCATAGTAAAAGGTCACATTGGCATGCAAATATCCAAAGCAATTAGGGCAACTCAGTAACTCAGTCATAAGTATAATAAGGGTTATGTCTTCGGTGCACTCACTTTTTTGGGTGCATTCAATGCACCCGCCTCATAATCGTCATTCTGAGCAGGCGATTCATGTGAAAACGATGTCAATCATCACTTGTGGTATGATGAATAAGAACCACATGAATTTGTACAAAAAACATTCCAGATTCACTTTAATTTGAATGATTCAGGGTTTAGGAATTTAGGGTTAGGGTTTACAATTTGGGATTTTGGGTTGAGATTCAAAATTAAAGGTTAATAGGTTAGGGTAATGAGTTGATTAGTTCGGATTCTATGTTATATCATCATATTAGACTAATACAACCCATTAAATTTCAAAATTTAATGTATTATGACCACTTTTAGAGATGAGTGCACTGAATGCACCCAAAAAAGTGAGTGCACCGAAGTAGCCACCGTATAATAAGTAGTTGTATTCCATGGGTTTATGCATTTGTTTCTTGTGGTGTGCACGACATGGCATGAAGGTTATGTAATAATTTATTCCTCACAACTACGAGAGTACGAGAGAATATATAGATGATTTGTTTACTTGTGTGTACGTGATCCTAGACTTTGTGTTATTTGGGTGGGTTGGATAAAGTGGCATACCATGTGTTTCTTCTCATGGATGTGAAGTGAAAGTTGGATTTCATTTTTTATTAGCAATGTGAAGTTCGGAGGTTCCAAACGTTTGAAAATCGTTTGAGAAACGTTTTAGTTTGATTGAATCATACGTGGGTAAGGTTAGGTGCATAAACTTGAACTTGGTGGATCAGATCTCCTTATTCTTAACTTTTTCTAATATTTGGTTCGAAACAATTTGATGCAAACCTCTAATCCAGAGTTATAGAAGTGTTGTGTTTCATTGATCGGTTGGTTTCCATTTGATACATATTTGACATGTGTGCTAAAAACGTAAATGAGTAAGGTCATGTGCATAAACTTTCTATGCTCGTTTCCTTTCTCTTGTGGATGTGGAACTTTTCTCGATCTGTTTCTGAATTCCAATATTACAAATAGTCTCTGATGAACCTTATTTCAGTTCCTTTTTCTCCTTCTTGGCTCCTGCCAAGAGGTTTTCAAAGGAGAGAATTTGTTTCAAAAGGAGTTGGGTTTGAGAAGAAACGACGGTAGCCAGTGCGGGAGCGTCGAAGGACACCAGTAGGAGGAAGTTCAACTATAAATATCCTATTAATGAGTTTCATTATGTCTCCAAAGGTGTCCTCATTCAGCCCCATATAACATGTAAGATCTCTCTCTCTCTCTCTCTCTCTCTCTCTCTTGCACACACTCTTCACCAATCACCACTTCTTTTTTACTCCCGTTGTAATGAAATTTGGAAGATTTTCATCAACCAATAGAAACTAGAAATCTAAAAAAAAAATTGTATGATACATAAAGTTTCTATTGCCATCATAGAATCGTTCATTGTAGGTTATTCACTCACAAAGGATCTAAACTGAAAAAACATCGTCTTTGTAAATTCTCTCTCCCCAGTAATGCAATGCATTTCATGTACTCGATTATATTGCAGTGCAAGGGATGCATGTGACCTACATTGGCATGGCTTATAGTTGTCTGGATTTATGAAGTTAGATGGAGAGCTTCCTCTAATCCGAAATGTCCTCGATCGATTACTAACACTTGTAGGTTAGCAACAAGGAAAGAAAATCTTCCAAACGAAGTATTAGCTTAAATATACGGATATGAATGATTTGGTCTACAAAATATAGAGAGAGTAACTTAATATCGCTCTCATAATGGTATATAACTGATAGTGTAATTATGTTCACACAGGAAATAACATGATTAGAAAGATGCATTGAATCATCTTAGCTTCAATTCACATAAAATTATGATTGAGAAGGAAGATGAAACTCCATAACCACCTAGTTTCCACCAAAATTTGCTGCTATTTAACATTTTACATAATATATATCGACACATTTTTTCTCATATCTTTTCTGATAGCTTTATCAACTGATACAAAAGGGACCGTAAGTCTACCAATTGTATTACACTAGGCATGCTTGTACATGGCTACCTCATTATGCCAACAAGAATAAACACATGTAAATTTTACTTGGGTGAAGGATCAATTTCCATTGCATTAGCTAATTCTCTAGCCAACAAGTCTGCACGATCATCCTGTCCTCCAGCAAAACTATATACCCGATATGCAAATTGGAAAGTTCTCCATAGAACCCGTCCAGATGTTGTTGCATGGCCTTTTAATTTCATTCCACTGCCATTTGATTCCTTTGATATCTTTGCCTCCCTCCATTCCTACAAAAAAAAAGGGACGATGAACATCACCAATGGAGCTTCTACTCTACTTTACTCCTGATGGGGATAGTTTTAGAATTTGGTGGGTAGTAAATAATCAAACCATGAGATGATAATGCGTTACCTTGAGTGCCAACTCCATGCAGCCGGAAGAAACATCCACCATCGATTCCTTAACTTGTACTATAACATTGAAGTCAAAGTGGATGTTGTTGCTCTTAAATCTCTTGGATTCTTCATCTTTGTTTAGCTCCAACATCTCTATCTCACGCTTGATCTAGTTGCGAGCAACTCCATGTGTTAATAATGAGGCAAAAGTCTATGTGTGTATCTGCACAATCTGAACCAGCATTACCTTGTTAAAGTATGATTCAATTTTGTCTAGGAGATGACCTATAGGAGGTGCTATTTTCCAATTCTTTAGGTTTTTAGACATTGCTTTCAATTTCAAATATAGTGCCCCTGCTCCTCTTAATGCTTCCAGCTTCTTTATTGGAAATTCTTCAAACCTTGCCAATACCTACAACAAAAAGAGTCATGTTTTCCTATTAACGATCAATTCCATGTTTTTTATTTATTTAAGAGAGAAGTTATACAGTTCTTATATATAGTTTTTTTAGGTATCTCTTAGACGCGTGATAAATTACGATGACAACATCTTTATCCCTACAACAATAGCAACGCATTGGGGAATCTCATTTCACCTGGGTTTCATCTGATAAATTTTCGAGATTTTTTTCAACATAACTGAGGAATTTGACAAGTTCTTCCATGTTCTTTGTCTCGAACACACTAATGGCAGCCTTGATCTCCATCACCAATGGTGCGTACTTCTTGGCATCTGCCTCAATTTGTTGATAGTATGTTGATCTAAGAAGCCATAGAAGGAAAGCAAAGAACAAATTATCATGACATGAACCATCGTCCAAAAATATTGAATCTACTCTGACCGAAAAATTAACTTTTTGAAGGGAGTTTGAGCAACTTACTTTTTAGTAATCTCTTGTATTGCATCAGCCATTCCTTGTTTAGCCCCTGCATTACTTCCTATTTTAGATCTTTTCCCTTGTACTGTTTTATTACTCTTTGGACCAACATGCCCTTCTTCCTTTTTCCTGAGAACTTGATACACATAAACCATGAGGATCGATCTCTTTAATCTTGTGTTATTCTTTGGACGTAGGAGTTTTCCCATCCCTAGTGGAGGAGGGGGTGGAGGCATGAGTCCTTTTTTTGGTGCTTCGGGAATTGGCGGAGGTGGAGATGTAACTTCCCTTGAAGACAAATTTCTTGGAGACAATGGTGGAGGGGATGGAGGCATGGATCCCTTTGCTGGTGGTGCAAGAATAGGCAGAGTTGGAGATGTAACTTCCATTGGAGAGAAATTTCTTGGGGGAAATGGTGGAGGAGGTGGAGCCATGGATCCCTTTGTTGGTGGTGCAAGAATTGGCAGAGGTGGAGATGTAGCTTCTATTGAAGACAGAATTCTTGGGGGCAATGGTGGAGGGGGTGGAGGCGGTCTTTTGTGTATTGTTGGTGGATATACATTTGCAACATCACATTTTAGGCTTGAATTAGAATCATTTGTACTTTCTTTGGAATTCTTGCCAATCTTGCTTGAAGGTGGGCTTAGTGGAGATGAAGTTGGAGTACCACTTGAAGATGACAATACACATTCAGGGTTTTGTAACATAGGTAGAGGAGATACTATTGGTGATGTTGATGTCTCTTTTCCTTCAGATGTCATATTTGACTCAGAACCTGATGCTTCTTCCCCATATATGTGACCATCTTCACAAGAAGGTGACTTTAGTTCAGGCAGAGTAGTTCCATTTGATGGTTTAGAATTTGGAGGTGGAACTAGTGGTAATGTTGGTGGAGCTACATCTTCATTTGAGGATAGATACAGTGTTGGAGATTGGATAGCTAAAACTACATTTGAAAGCCCCTTTGGTGTATTTGTTTCCGGTGAAGCTTCCCTGACCTCATAGTCATGCAACACGGACTCAGAAACTGAGACTCTTGAGTTCACATCTTCTTTGCTTTCTTTTGACTCTCTGGAATTAATTTCAGCTTGTAACCCTAAAGAAACACTTTTCGTCTTCATGCCATCAAATTCTGGACTCTCTTTTCCCTTAATATTAGAGTTGAGATCTTGAGTAAATAGAGGAGATACCAAGCTAGATGGGAGGTACTTCATTTCTAGTGGCTTCAGTCTCTTTGTTGCCTCGGTTCTAAAAAGAGAGGGAGGATTTTCTAAGTGGGAAGAAAGAAAGTATTCCACTACTTTTGGACTATTCAAAGGATTGATTTCTCTCTTTCTTGAATTGGATTTGGATGGAATAACCACCGGAGTTGAGGTTTCTACCAAGCTCTCATCATTCGCGTTCTCATTTTTCTTCTCCAACATTTCCCTTCTAATGACAATCATTTCATTGATCTTTCCAAGCACTTTTTGACCTTCAAATATTTGGATAACAACACAATTTAGTTATCGACTATACCATTCATGTTATTTCTTATGATGACTAAAAAAGAAGATATCTTACAGACATCTTACTGAGTTGCTCCAATGTCACATTCTCCATGCTCTCCCTCGGTTCTTTTCCATACTTCATCTTCACAACACTTTTGTGCCATGAGTCTCCAATAGAATTCAAGGCATTATAAAGTTGAATTAGTACCTATTAATTTGCATTATTACATCAGGTGACATTATATTTTTATATAGGAATGTATGATCACATACAACCTAGAGTTACTTTTTTCTTGCATTTAAGAAATGAACCTGATTCATGGGACTTTCTATTGTTTTGGCAGCCACATTGCAGACCACAAGTTCCGGGTACAAAGCATGGAGATTTATGATCAACTCCGTTAGCAACTGCCAAAAGATTCATTACTGGAAACTTTTGCGATATAAAATAAGGGACAAGAATTGTCTTTTTCTCTAATTCATGGTTTCAATTAGAAAATTGATGAAGTACCTCATTAATGGGAACATAACCATTGCATGGAGGGAGATCAACGAGCCCTCTAAAGATAAGTATCCGCTTCCTAAGCTCTGCCATCAACAAAATGTTGTTTGCCCATCCATTTGACTTGTTGCTCTTCATGACACTTGAAATCTCCTTCTTCTGATCATTGCGTACCTGTGATACATGAGAGTCATGACCACCAAATCCCATGGTTGTAGATTCCGTGAGAAGCCCTGGCATTTGATGTTCCTATTTTCTGCATGTTCCGTCAAACGATTCAAAAACTTAGATTTGGATGTGAGTAGGAAACTGGAATACCAAAAATATTTCTCGGCGAAGTGGAAACCTGCAAGTCTCCAAAATGGAAATCTGGGGAGGATGTTTTGTGAAGCAAAAGGTGCAATGAGACACTAATACAATGCACCGATTGTCTCACATCCACCTCCTCCCTCTAACCCTTCTTCCCCAATCAAATTTTCATGTGTTTACCCTGCAAACAGAGTTTCCTTCTCGTTTCATTGTCTTCTATAATGCATCATATAACTCCATCACTTACTTTCCTAATTTGTAGGAAAACGATGGGTTGAGAATGTTGCCACTTGTCTCTGCAGCCTTTCTCGTTTTCAATATTGTTCTCTTTTTTCTTTCATTTATAGGATTCTCATTTCCGTAAAATTAAGAAAATTTCACAGGAAAAAATTAAGGGAAAAATAATCCCATCAAATTTTGGAAGATTGTTAGACTGTTCTCACATTAATGTTTTTGATTGTTTACGCTCCCTATTATAATATTTCAATACTGCTCTAAACTTGTTAAGTACTTAAAGAGTCTTAGACCTTGTCTATCCACGATTACTTAACAATATAACACAAAAAGAGGATAACAATACATACGGGATATATGATGACATGGATTTTGGGAATTTTTTCAATAATAGCACCTTTTTTTAAAAAAATTACAAAAATAGCACCTTTCATCCTAAACCGCACCTTCAAGGTGCGTTTTATGTGCAAAACACACAAGGGGGGAGCGGTCCACGCTAGAGCAGCCCGAAAACCGCACTCTCAGCGTGAGGTCTGTGTTCCCGAGACAGCGGTCCCCAGCACCGTTGGATGAGGCGCCGATCCAACGACTAGCCGCGCGCCAACGCAGCGATCCGCGTAAGGGATCGAAGACCGCGCGCCTGGCGAACGGTCAGCGCCTCGGACGACTTGAACGACGCCTTCCTGGTGCGTTTTTGGAATCGGCAAAATTACGAGACCGCCCCTAGAGGGTGCGGTCTGAAAAGTATAAATACCCCCTCCCCCTCCTCATTTTTTCACAACACAACCCATTCTCCTCTCTCTCTCTCTATAAAATTATCTCTCTATCCATCCCCCTCCCCTCCCAAAAGCCTAGGAAATAGTGGTCTGTTGGTTGCGGCTACGTCTGATCTGCCATCAGAAAACATTTCTTTGGCTTTTCCTTCAAAACCCGCCGAATCTCTGTCCGACTTTCTCGAAAAAATGGACGAGTGATTCCAAGAAGAGGGAATTTATTATGATGAATTTCAAGCGGTACGTACTCATTTACCAAATGTTTTTGTTATAACCTTTTCAATTAATCTATGTACTAATATTGTTGTTATTCTCTCGTAGGTTGGGGATGACGTGGATATATACAACCAACGATATTATGTTGATCAAGGGCCTAGTGATCTAACCGTGTTGTACGACCAACCCAACCATCATTCAAGGGATGTTTGGAACGATCACGAGGTACATACAATTCTTCATCATTTCTCTTTCTTTTAATTGGTTAACGTACTTAGTGGAATATAAAATAAATTTGATCATTTTTAATCGTATTGGTTGTTTTCAATAATTTAATCGAATACATAGCGCCACTTACTTAGACTCTTTACAAAGAGATGGATGCCTAAGGAAATGAGGTTTTAGCGATTATCATGATCCTCCCATTCCTGAAAAAATCGGGTTTTAAGCGATCCTAGAATCCCCACTTTTTGTGTCAAAAAGGCTGCGTTTCTAAGAAGATGTATACCTCTTCTAAGAGTCTTACGAGTGTTGCATTGTATTCGATTAAATTATTTAAAACAACAAATACGATTTATGTGTATGTGTACAATTATAATTTTATTAATTTTAAATATTTGAATGTGTATCTCTTTAAATTATTATTCATTTAAAATTTTATTTAATTTAATTAATTAAGTATGTTTGTATACGGACCAGGACAATTTCGTTTATCATGCCCTGGAACTCTCCATACGGAACATCGTCTCGGGCCTCGTGGTGGTCTTCCACTTTGATCCACTTCGTTCGGAATTCTCTTTACCCTCAGGCGACCCAGTTCACGCCTCTGTCAGAACGGCGGTATGATAAACTTTCCTTGATACACCTGCCAGTAAGCTTCATCAGGCAATGCACGGAAGCTCCGTCCATAACAACTTTTTAGTGTGTCGATATTGAAGAATGGACTCACGAAGTGACGGGGGTCTTTGCTCCTACTTTTGATTACGGCCATTGCATGCGAACATGGCCATCCTCTCCCCTGATACTTCTGGAAGGAGCACTCACCAAGTTTTTCCCTGAAATTGACCAAAACTTCATGGCGATGGCCACCACGTCTACCATCCTCCCGGTGTCCGGTCGTCACGCTATACTCGCCAGTTGCTTGATTCATAACGGTTACACTATGTCGACTGCTCTTTCGATTGTCATTTTCCATTATTTCCGTGACTTTATAGGCATGGACCTTTCCCTGTGCCTCATTCGTCCTTGCCCAGTGCAGTCGATTGATGAACCATGCATTCGTTTTCCAGAAAGTCATCTCAACAATGGCAGAGATTGGCAGTGAACGAGCCGCCTTATACACGGAGTTGATACTCTCACTTGAGTTCGTTGTGGCAATACCCCATCTGGTTCCTCCGTCTTTATGGAAAGTCCACATGGACAGGTCGTGTCCATCCAGCTAGGGGTGGGCATACAGGCGGGTCACCCGCGGGTTTGGGCCGACCCGCCCGCATTTGACCCGAATTGTGCTTATGTGGGCGGATCTATGGGTGGGTCACGGGTGTGGCAGGGAGTCACCCAATGGGTGGAGGGTGGGTCTTGGGCGGGTGGCGGGTGACCCGCACAACCCGATTCAACGCACCAAAACACGGTAACACAGATGGAGAAGGAAATTAGGGTTGGAGTTTTTGGAGATTGAAATCCTCTCTCAGCCAAACCCGACTACCTCTCTGCTCTCTTCTTCCCTTCCTTTTTTCTTCTGATTTTTGTGCTCAAATCAAACACCATCACCTTCCCACTTTCTGTTAGGTTTCTTTCTTTAGCCACGAATTGAGCTTAACAGTTGTAATATTTTCTTGTAGGACTTCTCTGATTAAGAGCTCATATGATTTTGTCGGGAAGCTGCACAATTTGGTTGGAAGCTACATCATATCAACTCATGGAATTGGGTGTAGATAGTGGAGGCAGAGGAGACACCATCCGGCGGCAGTAGCCAGAATGCAAGGATGCTGAGTTTGGAGTGTGATGGTTGTTTACAGAGATCATTATTCATTAATATAAATGAGGAATTCCTTTGTTTAAGGAAGCAACGACAGTGTTGTAGCATGAGGAGTTGTAGTGCTACTTTGAAGAATCAAGATAATGGATATATATGTTCTTATTTATTATCATGTCAGTTGCTGCCTTTATATGTTCTACATTGTGATTTGTGGGTGAATCCACCTACCCGCCCGATTCATCCACCATCCACCCGACCCAACCCGAAACTAAATGTGGGTGAGTGGCGATCCGCATAAGTGCGGGTTGGTGTGATTTGTGGTCAAAACCCGACCCACCCAATGCCCACCCCTACATCCAGCCACTACGCCCCTTCAGGGCATAACTCCCGCAGCTTCTGCAGCTTCTCCTTGAATTTTTCTCTTGGTAGGCAACAACTGATGAATACACAGAAAAGACATAAGTTAGTGTTAATTGTCGATATTATTTAATTAAAAAAACCAACAGTTAAAGTCTTAGGAGAGGTATACATCTCCTTAGAAACACAACCTTTTTTTTACAGAAAAAGGGGGGATCCGAGGATCGCTTAAAACCCGATTTTTCCAGGGAATGGGAGGATAATGATAATCGCTTAAAACCCCATTTCCTTTGGCATGCATCTCTTTACAAAGAGTTAACAAGTGTTGCATTGAATTAGATATAAGCTTTTATTTTAAAAAATTAAACAACCAGTGAAATAGAGAGCTTACCAATCCACCATAAATTATCAGCAAGCTTCTTCCGCTTGAAATGATGGTTCCAATTGCTCTTGAAGTGTCGTATGCACCACCTTTGGGACCACTTCAAGGCTGGGTCCAAACCCAAGATGGCAGCTCTGATGCCGGCGTGTCAATCAGAGATGATTGTTAGGTTCGTTCTCATGGTGACGTGGAGCTAAATTTGCCGGAAAAACCATCCATAGCTATCGGCATTCTCTCCCTTAACAATGGAGAAGGCTAAAGGAAAGACTTGTCTGTTTGCATCCGCACCACTGACAATCAGAAGAATGCCCTTGTACTTGCCGGTAAGGAATGTACCATCCACTTGGATCACAGGACACATAATCCAAAACCATCAATAGATGGCTTGAATGCCCAAAAAAGACGTTTGAAATGGCGTTTGTCACCGGGCTCTGGCGGCTGTATCTCTTCATCTTGGTATCAAGGGGAGAAAACCGTGCCAGAGTTAGACGCCTTCAATGCCAAAATCAACTTGGGAAGGAATGCATATGATTCTTCCCAATCACCAAAGATGGCAACCAGAGCTTTCTGCTTTCCATGCCTTGCCTTCTTATAGTTGATAATATAACCATAACGACTTGTAATGTCAGCGATTATGACATTCACCTTCAGGTCAGGATCTTGCTCAATTAGATGCTTGATAGCCGCGACCACCACCCTGGATTTCAACTGTCGATGGCCTTTGTGTGTGTGTTCACCGCACAGGATATGACCCAATAGTCGTGTCTCTTGCTATTGATGGCCGAATCCTAGCATTGCATCCCTCTTGTTGATTGACTCACTCCTACTGTCACTCTAGAAATTGGCCAAGTGTAACCACTTCCTAAAGCGTAGTATAGCGGGTTTGGGTTTTAATGTCAACCCGGGTCCTAGATGTGATGACTACTCAGTGAATTATTATTATCTAGCAGTGAAACTTTAGTGCAGGTCCAAATTAACAAACAAACAAAGCAAGTTTAACGGTTGTTTTCAAGTCAAGAGAGGTCACCCGGATATGGTTCCCCCTAGACTGCAGTTAAGCCGGATTGCAATTTACCAAGTTCAGTTTCTATGATAGTTATACTGCGGGAGGTTCTTAAACTGTCTGAAGTCTCGACTAAAGGTCTCGAGACGCTCTCAATCTGAGTCCCCAGCGGGCGACTAACCTCCACCGGAGTAAACAGATTGAGGCCCTAACAAACCAAACCTCCACTAGCGAAGTAAATTCGGTACAGAATAGTGAGTT